GATTTGTTGAGACCTCGTGTCGTGTGGTTCATGCGTGCCTATGCGCTACTATTTACTATTTCAGCCAAGTGTGTTGAAAGAACGTTTGGGGATGGTTGGCTTTTCCTAGGCAGGTACAGTAGGAAACACAAGATTTAGCAGTTATTGCTTAGGATTTTGGATTCAGGGCCTAGGGTTTAACCATAAGGCTTCTCACCCTTCCAAGAACAAGGCCTTGCCAAAGGCAAAGAATGATTCAGTTTCCAAGTTGTTCCTTTCCCTGGGTGCCAAGCTTACTTTTAAAGAAGCTGCATACGAGCTTTCGAGGGACCAAATTCTCCATGCACCCGCCACAAGATAATAGTCCCTGTCAACAGCTACATATAGAGACCCATAATGAGACGCAAACCCTGTCAGGCCGGGAACAACTTAATGTAACGATTAATCGCACCTTGAGGAAATCTGATTGTAGTCATCCATAGAAGTGCCTTCATACGCATATGAAAACCCCCACCCTTGTGTGAAATATTCCTCCCTAAGAGACCTGACGTATTGGGGGAGAGTTTAATGGTTGTGGCGGGGGGTGTTGAATATTGAATACATGTATGAAGGGAGTAGTAGATAGAATTGTAGACTTGCTGAAGGATAATCATCTAGCACTGCAGAGACTGGTCTGTTCATCACCCTCCAAGGTTAGAAGTACTTGAATACTCAATCGCTATGTCCAAGTATGGTTGTAAGTGTAACGCTTCTAGCAGCCAACTTCTCTGCGCCCTAACTACACCCTAAACCCTGTAAATCCCTATAAACCCCTATATAACCTCTATAAACCCCCCCTTTAAAGGTATCCTACTCACTATCCTCAGCCCAAAGAGGCTCGTGCCTTACGGAACAGCTTGGGTCGCAAGCTTATCGGGGTCAACCTCGCAGTGTGACTCGGATGGCAGTTCAGGGTTTAGTGTTTATAGTAATAGTAACAGCAATAATAATAATAGTAATAGTAATAGTGATAGTAATAATAATAGAGGGAGGGTTTCTTATGACGTTTCCCGAAAAGGTCGGTTGAGGAAATTCCTCTTCAAGAGAGTTTTGCTCGTGAGTTTGGTCTGCTGTAGTGCCTGGTTATCACCATGGACCCTATATGAGCTTTAGTCTGAAGTCCTTAAGGGAGGTTATATAGGGCAGCATTCGAGGGTTTCTTGAGGGGGATACTAGGAGTTGACACTCGACCCCACATGGCACGGAGCATGCTTAGCTTACAGGATCCCGCTCACCTCAATGCACTAAGTTGCCAGATTGAGTTGAAACCCGCACGAGTCGAGTAGTCCTGGTGCCCTAAGACACCCCATAAACAAGAGAGCACGGCAAACAGGGTGTGCATGAATTGATTCAGAACTTGCAGAACTCAGCCCACGTTGATTATTCTAACATGGGTTTGGGCACAAAACGAGAACAAGGCCCAGCTTTGTTTTGTTGCTCAGTTTACGGGCCAGAGCTTGCAAAGCAGACAGTTTGGGTTCAGGATAGAAGGGTACATCCAAAAAGGGGGCTGATATGAATCAACATGCGCAGGAGTCCTCATTAAATGGACTCCCGAAAGTAAGCCCCAATTTTTTGGAAGCCCCTAGATGACTGTCTGCCTTGGAAAAGCGGAGAAGGCTGCACTGCATTAGGTTGATATGCCTAAGCCAGCCAGCCAATGTTGATGCGAAGTTTAAGAAGTACCCCTGACCAGACTTGACACCGGACCATATTCCGAAACTCACGACCCCTCTAGCGGACTCTCAGCATACCACTAACCCGTGAACCCAAACCCTAAACTGAGTGAGCTCGGGGCCGTCGAGCAGGGCGAACGCGCCGAAGCCGGCTCAGTCCCAAGCCTTCCAGGGCCTCTTTCAGGCTCTATCTAGCAGGGCAAGCCTCCCAGAACCTTTCACCAGGGCCAGCCTCCGGCCTCCCAGGGCTCCCAAAACCTCTCGGAAGGAAAGGCTTAGTCTCGAGAAAAAAAAGAAGGGCGTCCAGCCAAGGCTCCATCTTAAAAAAACTAGAGGCCTCGAGCCAGACCCAAACCCAAACCATGCACCATCAAGTCTGGACAGGTCCAACTGGTTCAAGGGCAAGGCTGGATGTGAAATGAAAAACAAGAAGCCTCGAGCCAGACCCAGCCCAAACCTTGTACCCGCCTGTTCCAGACAGGTGCGACAACAACAGATAAGAAGACAGGGCGCTATCAAAGTTCGGGAGAACCTTAAACCCGCAAAAGGTTGAGGCGAGGGTGGAGCGCAAGCGGGTGTGGGCTCCTGCAAGTCGGGGTGCGCGTCTGGGTGCTCCCGGCATCTTCTAGCACCAGGGCACCCCCTCACCGAGACAGCCCAAACCCTAAACCTTAAACCTCCTGGTCCAGGCTGGTTTTTCTGATGTTCGTGGTGCAATGTCGAGTTATGCTTGGCATTCGCGGGAGCGTCCAACCTGCTATGGTTGCTTGGGCCTCTTAGGTTTACGGGTTGAGGGTTTACGGAGGCTTTAGTTGGATGTCCCCTCCCACTAATTCACTGATACACGCCCGACCCCTTAATGACAGATTTTTCCGGTGTAATTATCGCATCACAGACCATAGGCGTTGGAGGGGCTTTGAGGGGATGTGATCGATATGACAGATATCTGTGGGAGAAGGGCTTACTGGGGCTTTGTGGGGAATGAAGGAATATAACCCTACAAAGCATACTCCTTTATTCCTTACCCTAAACCCTAAACCCGGCATATATATACATATGTATATGTATATATATATACACATGTGTATATACCCTTATTCTCGTCGATACCCCAGTAAGAGGGATTGAACTCATAAACGTGTGCGGGATTGCTAGTACACACGCGATAGAGCTGATACGGGGAAAGTCGAAGACCATGTTACTAGTAACACATTCAGGTACATATTGGGGCTTATTAGGGACAAGGAAGTACGTACATATATGTACATATATAGATATGTATGTACATAGGGTTTAAGGTAGAGAGTAAGGGAATCTATTCCATATGTGTTAGTATGAGGATTATATTCCTTTCTTACCTACTAGACCCCAGTCAGGACAAACATTTTAGTTGTAGCTGACTGATTATCTATTCACCCGGGCCAGCTGTGCGGCAGGTTATGGGGACCCAGGTTGTTTCGCAGATCGTGACCCTCATGCGTACTACAGTCTAAACTCCTTGAAGGGGTTATACGGGGGACTACTAGAGGGGTCATTCAGGGGGCTACTAGGAGTTAATTAAGCTTATGGCTCATGTGGTTGCGGTACTCGCTTCAAAGTTCTTTTTTATGCAAATATTTTTTACTCTGGTATCCCCTCGTATGAGCATACTCTGAGCGCGGGCCTACTACGTTGTTGTGAGACATGTCAGGCAAGCACAGGCATGAGAGTTGCTCTGGATGTCCCGCATATTATCTCTCTAGGGCACCCTGCTCTGAGAAGCCGCCAACACTCCTTTTAGCTCAGGGCCGGAAGCTGGGCGAAATGCCATCTGGAAGGATGCCGACCTACCCAAATGCCTACCCCCTTCCTTACACGCCCATTCCCAATTTCCAGTATATGATCACTTCTCCCACTACCAAACCGCAAAATCCGACCCCTCCCTCCTGGTTCCGCAATCAATCAAGAACAAAGGTGTGGACGCTAGCCCCTGGGACGCAATACGAGCCCAGACATCTTTCAGGATCTAGAGAGTATACGCTCCTTTTGAGGGTTCCTAGGCATGACCTGCAGGAGACCATGTTGGGGGCTCTTCTGTGTGCATCCTCATGCACCATGATCTAAACTTCTTTAAAGGATTATATAAAGGATTAGATAGGGGACTACTATAGGGGTTATTAAGGGGGATATTAGGAGTGTGGACTATGGCTGTCATGGAGAATGCATGAGGATTGAGGGATCAGGGGGTTAGATGCACAAGGCTTTTCTTGGAGTCCTTTGAACACGGGGGACTGCCTTTCAGGGGCCACTGGAGTGGAATCCAATTCTGAGGAATTGTGTGTAGAATCAGGCTGCTTTATTCGCAGGCTGCATTAGGAAGAAAATCGGAAAGCACGTAACAGATATCCAGGGAGCAGGGGTTGTTGATGCAGGGACTAGAGACTTCAGGGCCGGAGGGTCAGGTCCTTAGAAAGGTTTCTCATGGTGAATCGACAATTGCATGAATGATTCTGTTTTTCTTGGAGGTTCAGAGGTAGGTATACGTGGCTGCAGGTCCCAGATTTCGTTGAGAATTACTTCTGAACCTCCAAGTCGTACATGCAGGATACTTTCCAGACCCTACAGCTCAGTTCTCTTGCCAGACAGGGTTGTGGTGTGGGGTCCAAAAGCTATCCAGAGGAGCTGGGGTGTTCTCCAGTCCCGCATTGGGCTTCATTTCTGTTTCAAAACCCTTGATACTTGGAGGTTCTCGGGTCATCATAAGTGAGGTTACAAGGACCCCGGCATAGCTTCTATTCACCACGCTTAGGGCAACCCATGAGCCGCAAAGTGCTTTGCCTCCCTTTCGACTCAGCCTTCCAGAGCTGTTTGCTTCGCATGTTGTTTCATGCACATTTCAATGGCCCTCTGAAATTACGCTCATAAAAACGCTCATAAATGGATAGAGGATCGGTATGGGTGAAATACACAGAGATTGAGAAGTGCAAGAAGCCTTTGTGAGACATGTCGCACGTGCTTGAAGGCCTCGCATGGACCGTTGCAGCCGTGAAGGCCAAGGTTGCTCAAAACACAACCAGGCCCCTAAAGGACAGCAAAAATTGTGACATCCTTTGCACCTGTCCTCACTTGATTTCAATGCTCCCCATGGCACGCGTCCAGAAGCTGCACTGCCCTAATTTGAGCACATTTGAGACACGAGCTTCCGCTGATTTCACAGACATACCGTACGCGTTCTGCCATGGTATAGCCCCCAACTCCAAAAAAAAGATACCGAAACCCCAGTCCCCACCACAGCTGGCAAACCAGTCCTAAACCCTTTACTAAAAGGTAGCCACAACGGCTTGGATGGGGCTGGCATTCGTGGTGCCCCAGCTCCCAAGGACCGATGTGCAGCTTGACTTTACGGATGCTATGGACACTGGTTTGTGAAGGGTCTTGGAGAGAGAGAGAGAGGTATGATATATACATATCTATATATGGCAGTTTCCCAAAATAGGGGAACCCCAATATAGATTCCAAAATATTATATTCCTTATTATTGGGACCCCCAAAAAGGTACCTCTAATTTTGGGAAACCCCCATATATATATATATAGAGAGAGCATGAGAAAGGGAGGAGTGAGGGAGGGAACGGGCGATGGATGATTATGCTTCAGAGTGGGCCCACTCAACTGGGTTGCTGTTAAGGAACTTAAATTAAGTTACCATTAATGGGGTATATACAGTAAATAATAGGATTTCCCCAATATAGTAACTTAAATTAAGTTCCTTAACAGCAACCCAGTCAATTGTCCACCCACACCCTGGTGGTGCACATGCAGCGGCACGCCCAAGAACGTGCAATTCTGGCGCAGGTTCACATGAGATGCGCGCCAGACAATGATACCGGTGAACATTGTGGAACCTATTTCTCGGATGGGTTCATAAAATATATAGGTTAGCGCATGAGTCACCCGCTAGGTGTACGAAGCACCAATCCTTTCCTCCAGTACCAGATATGTAGGAGATGCTTTTTTCCCGCGATATCACTGCACGCTCGCCATCTCACGAAAACTGTTATGAATTCAGGGCCACTGACTGCGTCAGAGTATATCTGCGCAATGCAGCAAGCTACAAGCCACAGTAATGTTGTTTGTCACATGATATCACTACATTTTTTTTGGTTTCGCTCTACATTTGTCCTCGATGTTGGTGCACTTCAGCTAGTTCTGTACATCATATTTCCATATTTGTGAGACTGAAGTGCTGTTGCCCTATGGGAACACATGTTCCAGGTCTTGACATCTCGACGGGGCAAGTCACTGTTTGCACTGCTTTCCCTCCTGAATATAGCTGTAGCCTAGCAAGATGACGATTTAGATTTAGATTAGCATCGCTACCATCATTCGTAGTATTATGGATATTACTTTTACTCTTACAATTATTACTAACAATCATTATTAGTTTAGCAGTTGCAGCTGTCGAATCCAAGGGATTCCTTTCACAGTCTGCGACCGCGAACAGCGGCCACCTAGTCCCAACAGGTTTTCTCACAGCCTCACAGGGGCTAGACAGTTGCCAGTTGCCGGTGCTCTCCCAAATTTCATGGCGCCAAGGAACCTGCATGAAGGAATGAAAAGCAGACAGAGAGACAGTGACAGAGGGATAGAGAGCGCTTCGGAAGAAAACGTTTGGGAGAAGTCGTGCTGGTACTTTTTAACGTTCGCTGAAATTGTGCATAGTCTGTAAAGATAAGGAGTGAGTCTGCAGGTTTGTTTTTTAGGTGGCAAACTCTGCCCGCCCGCCTACCCAACACCAACCCTCCCCTGTCAAAAGAATGCCTAGCACTCAAATGGCCACACTGCGTAGTGGAAGCCCTACACCGGCAGCAGGTTACCGTCTATTTGAGTCGTGGGGCTTCTGGAGAGAGTCAGGTCGGGAGTTCTTCAGAAGAAAAGACAGAGCACACCAGGTGCGGTGCCCACAGATGATACTAAGTTGGGAACATTGACTTTGGACGCAACAAGCGCAACAGGGCCCCAGCCAAAAGACCCCACAAGGACTTAAACTGGCATGAAAGTTCAGCTTTCACGACTCTGTGGGGTTTTGCACAGAAAGCAATCCCTCTTGCTTGGCCCAGAGCTTCGTTTGTTTAACCTCCTTCCCTACTAATCTACCCCCCGCTCCCCTATGAGAAAACATACCCAATGTAGCACCAGTGTATATTATGCGGGGAAGACTTACTATTAGTGATTGGGTGGTTTAGTAGTTCAAGAGGGGTCATGCATTCAGGATTTCACTTCTTCCAGTATTAGAGCCCCTTATTCAATCGCTTCTCAGGTGGTACGTGGTCTATCACATCGTGCTCTTGGAGCCTGCTCTTTTACGCAGAAATCCTTTCTAAGGAAGTTTAAGGTGGGTAGTTTTCCCCACATAGGCCTTACATAGCCCTTATATAGTCCTAGTGCCTTCATATAGGCCTTATATCAGGTTCATGTAAGGGGTACCCAAAGCTTCCTCTGGTTGACATGTGGTAGTTTCCATAAACCCCTAATTTTGGGAAACCCTCGCGTGTCAAATCCATGCGTGTCCTGCCACGAACCCCAAACCCTAAACCCTACGTCCTTGGAGCACAGACTCGAGAATCCTGAGTGATCCACTTTTTGCAGCCCCATTGCATAAGTAAGCGCTCTCTGTTATCCAAAGAGAGGGAGGGTCACTGTTTAGAGGTCATCTCATATAGAACGTCCCACTTTCGAGTCGACCTTTACAGCCCATCGTTTGTTGAACCCGCCCAACACTAAACCCAAAACCCTAGCCCTGGATAACAATGGCTTGGTGAACTTAGAGAGGCGGTAGCACAGGGTGGGTATCAGGGTTTAGAGTGTAGGGCTTAGGGTTGGGCAGGCATATCTTCATCCGACCAACTCTTCCTTGGACACGAGCTTGCGATTGGTTCTGGTGATGTTCAGCCTGCTTCGGCTGCCTGCCATTCTGTTCCTAGGGATCTCCATAGCATGTTGTTTCAAATTTTGTCCCCCCTTAAAAGCAGCTGTGAATTAAGTTTCGTTTCGGACGGGCAACGCAGATAGAGGATCCTTGAATGTGTATCTGAAAGACACTTTGTGGTTTGGTTGTGGTAGTGAGACGTACAGGCATCAGGATTGGCAAAAGGGTTCTTCAGACCAGCTTCCAACTGTCATCTTCGCACACATTCCCCCATTACCCACCTACACTAATCCCTAAGCCCTACCTACACTACCCCTCTGGGTCCCCCCTTATCCATGACCTTTTAGGGATGGAGGGACCCATGAAACTGAGAGCAAAGTAAAAGTGCCTGTAGAGTGTGACACGAAGGGCAAACGACTTGAACGGAAGGCGAGGAGAATTTTACCCCAAACCCCAAACCCTAAATAGTAGCTTCCATTTTCTTTTCTACTATCCCTATATAGTCCCCGAGTCCCCACAAAACCGTCAAGTTATGCTGAAAATGTCGGGACAAGATGCAAAAAAAGGGTGGGCCCACATCCTCCAATCTGAGGACTGTGGAACGCCTTTCTCTAGTGGTCCTCTGCAATGTGCCCTTCATTGCGGTGATGGCCGTCAGAGTGGGCTTCGAGAGAATCGACACACAATTCGGTGGCAGGACGGTGTGCAAGATTTTTGTTGCTGTAGAGCCAACTTGTCAACAGAAAGCTCTCCACTGCAATGTCAAAGTAATTACAAGCCATGTTCAAGGTTGCAGCACTAGTGGGTAAGGGTTTAGGGTTTAGGGTTTGGTCCCATGACGATTGACTTGCCCAGTATCCCTATGTCTCTGGAGAAAGCACTGGGCACAAGGACGCTGGTCATCACATTGGAGGTCGTCCATCTTGTTGTGCTGATCGTGGCAGCCCTTGTTTTGAAAGAGTACTTGTTCCTTGGACGCACGTTGCAGCTTTACTTTAAGATGTGATAAAGTTCCACGTTCCTGCGTAAAAGCACAAAACCTAGATCAAAGTTAGCACTGTAAGATACCCAAAGGCACACATTTTCTCCATGAATGCTTGTGCTAAGGTTTCTTGATATGGATACACATCATGGTCATATCCCGCAGCTGTGGGGCAAGAGTAGTATGCAAACACCGCACAGGAACAAATACCCCTCAAGAGCATCCAAGCAAAGCCCGAATTCAGAATCCGTCAGGATGGGAAAAGTGGAGCAAGACATGGAGAAAAACAATGCGGTGACCCAGCTGAATGCAGCTGGATCAATGTTAGTGATCCTTTTTACTTTTTGGGGGATGGGATTCCTTATATTTCTGTAAAAAGGAGCCTTTTTTTCTTCCTAGGGCAATGTGGGCCAAGGCAGCATCTTCACTTCTGCAGCTGACGTGCGACGCAGTGGTGGAGCCTGGGTGGCTGTAAAGCAATTGTTTTAGTTTTCCGGACTTGGGAACCCCCCACATTGCCAATGTTAAGCACTCCCATTATGTGGCATATTCTACTAATATATTTGGAATATTTGATATGGGGGGGAAACCCCGGAAAGCACATTGAAAAGAGATGGCATATTCCCAAAGAAGTATCTCCACAACTGGCTGTAGGAGCTGGACAGCAATCTCCGGTTAACGAAGCATTCGCGCGAGCTGGCAGCCATGCTTCTGCGAGACTCCAGCGACCGGCCTGCCACATCGCTGGAAGGAACCTTGCCCAATCAATTATAGTAAGATTTAAGCACAAATACAGATAGTAAAAACAAAAGTAGTAGGACTAGAAATAATAGCAATAGCAAGTCTACTAATAATCATCTTGGAAAGTCTTCAGAAGCGATGGTTCTCTCCCCCTCATTGTAACTGTCCTCAATCGGTTGCGTTAAGGGCGTATAATAAGTCCTCATTATGACCCATTGTGATAGCTGTGGCTGTACAGCTGTAAAGGACCTAACAGAAGCCGTATCGACCATTGGCTTTATGTGGCCCGCTAGTCGAAGGTCGTTGAGACATTCATTCTACCTTGCTCCAGGCTCTAAAGCCAAACCTACTGTCCTGGACGTCCATTCTTCATGAGCCTGCATATTTGAGCTAGAGTCTAAACTCCTTCAATGGAGTCACATAAGGGAGTATGACAGGGGTTATTAAGGGGGATACGAGGAGAATAGACTCATAGTCCAGCTCAGGCACCCTCTTCACGGACCTGATGCCAAAGGTAGATGTTCCCCATGCACTTACCAGGCTACTTGGGCATCCTCATTCTGTTGAGGGCCTAGTTGGCTTAGGGTTTCCCAAAATGAGGGGTACCCTTTAAAGGGACTATAGGGGGTATATAGGGATTAGGGCTTAGGGTTTCCCAAGACCATGGTACCCTTTAAAGGGATTATAGGGGATATAGAGGGTTAGGGTTTAGGGTAGTGTCCAAAAATTACGGGTACCATTTTGAAGGTCCCTATAACAAGGATTATAGCGTGTTGGGATCTATGTTGGGGTCCTCGTTTTAGGAAACTACCAGTTCAGGGCATGTTGGAATATAAGGACCCTAAACCCTAAACCCATAAGGACGAAGGCCTTCCTCTGGGCATTTGTGCCTGGAATGCCTTCATGCTGAGTCTGCGGAAAGCCCGCATTCTCGTTTCAAGCGCTGCAGACCCACCCAAAGATAATACAGTTGCTGAAGGGAGGGAAATCATGTACCAAAAGAGCACAGTTCAAGTGCATCTCCATGATGGTGCAACCTTGGGCAGTGTCAGGATATAACACGAGGAGCGGTAGCAGAAGCAGGTGGTACCCTTCCAAGCCTGACAGCTGCCGCAGTATGACCAAGAGTATCCCGCACAAATTACGCCTGCGCACGCTCGTTTGGTAATGTGGTGATGTGCGCTGACCAGAAATCCGTGTTGTCATTGGACTTGAGGCGTTTTCGTTCCTGTGTGGAAGCTTTGGGAGGATATGGTACTTTCCCAAAATAAGGGGACCCCAATATAGACCCCAATATACTATAATCCTTATTATGGGGACCCCCAAAACCCTAAATACCCTAAACCCTAAACCCTAAACACCCTAAACCCTAAACCCTAAATACCCTAAACCCTAAACACCCTAAACCCTAAACCCCATATTGAACCTGGGAAAAGCATAGGGTCCTAAGGCTGACAGATTTCAGATCGACTGCCACCAGCGGCTCACAGTCTCGAGGTCAAGCGCACACACTGCAAAGTCGCATGGCAGGGTTTAGGGTTTAGGGTATTTAGGGTTTAGGGTATTTAGGGTTTAGGGGTTTAGGGTATAGGGTATTTAGAGTTTAGGAGAAGGGCAACCCAAAACGGGCACGTTTCCCGTAGTCCCCCAGGTCAAGTCCAAAGAATCCTTTCTGCTTGCCACTAGAGAATCAAGGGGCGGAAGCGAAAACGGCCTTGCTGCTGATTTTATACGGGGTGTAGGGTTTAGGCAGACAAATGCTGCTTTGGCTGTGCCAGTTTGGTATGGTAGCAGAGAGTTGGTTTATCATCGGGGACGGTATGGGATTTGGTCTGTTAAGACAGCTGTCCCGCACATACATAGACACATAAATACGTTCACGCGCACAAACAAGCCTACATACTGTAGGAGTTTCTCCAAACCCTAGACACCCTTCCTGCCATAATCTCCAAGCACATAATTCCGTGGGCCAAAAGAGCGACCAACTCAATAATTTGTTCCCACCCGACTAACGAGTACCCCCAGTATGCAAAATCTTGCATGACCTTGAGGCTACTGTAGTACCCTGATTCTCGGGGTTTATGTACATGGGGGCATGCAGGAGTTTGTCCATCAACCGTAGTATCAATGTACTAGCTGAACATTTGTTATTCTGCGAGCGTGTGGGGAGGAGGGTTCGCTGTTAGACGGGGAGGTGATTATGATTATAGGCTTCTAGAAATACAGAGGGAGATATAGGAGAAATGAAAAGAGAATGGAAGCTACCATGTGATCTGGGACCTGGGGTCTGGGACCCTAAACCCTAAACCTTAAACCCTAAACCCCTAAACCCCTAAACACTAGAACATGAACATTTGGCCTTCTGGAGCCCATGCAAAGCCAGGTTTAACCGCTCATGCCTTCCATACACGACTGGTTGATAGCTGCTCAACAAAGCTCCAGACCGAGGCGAGGGTTTAGGGTTTAGGGTTTAGGCTTACTGTTTATAGTCCCCCTTAAGTAGATAGAATATAGGGTTTAGGGTTATAGTCCCCCTTAAGTAGATAGAATATGGCTTTGGATATATTACAATACGGTCCCCATATACACCATATTCTATCTACTTAACGGGGACTACAGGAGTTTAAGTTTACGGTTATGCAGTTGAAGGTTTAGGGTTACAGGGTTTAGGTATTTGTGTGAGAGTTCTGCTTGGCTGTTGGGTGGTCTAGTTCTTAAGCTTACTGCTAGTTAGTAGGGAATGAGGGAAAAGATTCCCCATATAGCCCCTATGTTTACTCCATTGTTCCCTACGAACCCACACCCCCCCCCAGGAAGTACACTTCAGGGCTATCGGTTTACAAGCAAGGTTGGAAGGGCCGAGTTTCTCGAACAATTGGCCTCATGCTGCTATAGGGACTGTTGAGAAGGCTGGCGCTTGGGAGGCGCAATTCTTTCCCCGGAAAATCAGAGTCTTGAAAGACTTGACGGATAGAACTTGATAGAACTTCTGCTACAAGCTGTATTGGTGGATCCCATTTGCTTCAGCGAGGTTCTACCCCTAAACCCTGAAACCCCAAACCCTAAACCCCTGAACCTGCTTGGGACTTCAATGGGGCATCCAGGGGGCATCCATTCGTGTTGTCCACCCTGTTCGCGCGTGAAGCATCCGAAATCGGTCAAGATTCTATCGTCCCCCTTACGTAGATAGAATATAGGGTTTAGGGTTTGGGGGTTAGGGTTTGGGGTTTAGGGTATTGTGGCTCAAGCTAGCAGCTCAAACATCCACTCAGACCGCGCCCCTGAAAACAGTGCCAGCTGCAATGTCTGCTGTCCTCACCCAAGAGCAGCTATGCGAGCGCATCGCAGACCTGCGTTGGACCACGGTGCGCAAAGTCCAACTCACTGCGGGACTGTTCGGGCCGGGTGGGCTTCTAATGGCACCTCCCACAGGCGAACGCTACACCGTGCCAAGCGCTGAAGCCTTTCAGCACTATCAAGTGTTGAGTGGACGCGCCATTCCAGACACCTACCCGAAGGCTCAGGAGCTCCGTGATGGTGGCTTTTCTTTGTTCCAGCCGAAAGGCTGGCACTATGCGGCGATGGCACTTCGCGGGCGGCACTACTCTGCCAAGGCCTGCTGGTTGGCATCTGCCCTGGACGCATCGTTGCTCACAGCCTGCATCACGTACCCCATGCTCATTGGTACGCGGCTGTCCGTGGCAGATCTGGATGCCTTCAATGGTTCGCTCCAGGAAATTCAGGCTGCGACTATGGCTGTCTTCATCACCTCCGGCCTTGTGTTCCCCGCACTGATGGGCCCATGGCACGGGAAGAGAGCCCGCAACCATGAAGTCAGGACCCCTCAACCTCCAGTGCCGAAGACGAGGAATGGCCCGCATGGCTCTGAACATGGGAAAGCCAAGGCGAAAGCAAAGGCCAAGGCCAAACGTTTTCTACCACGGCCAGTTCCCTGGACTGGGTTCATCTCAACCCGATTCAGGAAGACCATGTACCTCATGGCCAGGGCCCTTCAGCAGGCTGCGGCGCAGCTGCAGGTGTTGCTCCATTTGATCGACACCCGGCCAGGGGACCACATTTTCGATGGATGCCAGGAGGCGATGGTAACGTCACAGGTCTTCACTGCCCTGGGTTCTTTCGACTACGGAGAAACGACCCAGGGCAATCGTGTTTTTTCCGTGGAGTTCCTTCTCGATCCAACATGGGTTGATGTGATTTTGCCTCAGCTGCCTGAGCTCACTCAAAGAGTCTGGCTTGATCATAAGGTGGTACTTACCTTCTCTGCTTTGCCAGAAGAGTGGACGGGGGCAGTACTGAGTTTCGCTGGTTTGTAGGGATTGGGTGCTCGGGGAAGTAATTTTCTCGGGTGCTGCGCATGGCTTGCGAGCTTTGCAGCTTGCCACGAGTGCGAGTTGTGGAGGCTGCAGGCTGGAGGCACGTCAGAGAGTCCTCCTTCAAAAAGGGCTTTGGGCTATAGTCCCCCTAAGTAGATAGAACCCCCTCTACTTAAGGGAGACTATATCTAGGTATCCCCAAACCCTAAAGCCTATACTCCTCAATCTACTTCATGTTTACACGAGCAACCAGACTTGGCAGCGAAACGCGCAGAAGCCCGCAACTGTCACGCCCTGGGAGAGAAATGCCTTCTAGTCTTTAGTGCGTGCTAAGGTTTTGGCTTTTATTGCTTAGGGCTTAGGCTTTACGGAGCCGAAGCTTGAGAAGAAAGACCTGGTGATGTCGAGGGTTTATGGCTTTGAGCCTATCAGGGAGGATGAGGACCCCATGCTTGCATATGCAGGAGCTTGTTCTAGGCTATGTGCTACTGCAAGAGGAATTTTAAGGTGAGTGGTTTCTCCTGTGTGAGCCTTACATAGCTCCTACATACCTGCTCGTCCCTAAACCCTAAACCCTATGAGCCTT